GGGATTAGAACTATCATTTTTATTTATATATATTGGGATTATATCGCCATAAGTTCACCATATCGCCATAAGTCCACGGTGTAGAATTGTTCTAGATTCAAATATTCTATTGAATAAGTCAACATACAAACTCAATAAAAAATCAGATATACTCTTCATGTACTAATTTATAATTCTGTTATCGCCACTAGATTTGTTATTTTTCAATAACTTCATACTTTTAAAAAATTCATCATGTGTAAATTGATTGTTTAATATAGTGATTCAACGGCATATTAGATATTAAAAGAAGTTCACCCTCTGTTAAAATATGGTTCTCATTTGATTCATTGAATTGCATATCAATTGCTACCCTCTTTATAAAAATTATAAAGGTCGTTTAAGTCAAACATTATTGCTTGTTTTTGTTTATATTTAAAATTTTCCAGTGTTCTTTAGGATTTGAAGTACATAAAGGACTGTTTCTCTTTCTGTTCTTTGTTTAGCAATTACAAGCTTAATTTCTGTTAATATGACTTTCCTTTTTCATACAGGTTTGTTTTAAAAATAGTACCGCCAATTTTATTTAATACATGTACAATCTCTTTGCACTTCTATAGTTTTGCCTGGCACATTTGCAATCAGCTTTAAACCTTTGTTTATTAACTTTACAATATTTGAGTTCTTTACAATTTATGCATATGATTTTATTGCCAAGTACTTCCTTAGAAAATTTTCTACAAAAATTACCAACTTTACATTATTATCAATAAATTCCAAATTAGTATCTTCACCAGTGCAATTTTTTTATATCATATTTTATTACCTGCATATGGGGTTTATGTCTCACAATTGATTCGATACACAAGAGCATGTTCTACGTATGCACAATTTCTAAAACGAGACAAGCAAGTTGATGAAACAAGAATATAAAAAGTCTCATTTAAAGTTATCATTTTGCAAGTTTTATGGTCGATACAATATGCCCTTGTCAGCGAATACAATCTATCATTAAGACAAATGCTGACTGGTGTTCTTCATACTAATTATTAGGCCGTTATTTACACACTGAATTGCTTACATATTATTCCGGGGGTATTTCCCGATCATGACAAGGAGCACACGGCTGGGAATGCTTACTCCTCCATGGTACCTGATCCCACCTCTGATGTTTTAGAGGTCTTTGTTTACTCTGCGTCTGATTTGTATTGTTTGAATGGACTTAAGAGCTTGAATACTGTTCGTTATCTCCATACTTCATTGAAGAGCTTGAACCACATTCACATTTTTTCAACAGAGTTTTGTTAGTTCAATTTTTTTTTTCAAAATTCCAACTTTTAGAGGCTACAAAAAAAGAGCAGAAGGCTGATGTTCTTAACTTTATCATTATTAAACATCAATATAACTTCAACAAGATTATGCACATCTGAAAAGAAGTGTTCGAAATGGCAAAATCTTGATAATCTTACAAATATTTATAAAATCAATATTGGCTTTGCATTATGCAATAATCCTCAACACTTGTATTTTTACACTTGAATTCTCCATTGATATCACTTCTTGATCTACCATTGAGTATAAAAATATTGCACAGTTTACAAACATCTAGGACTTTTTTTCATATTGATTAATAACTTTATCCTTTGATTTCCTCTCTACTGAAAAATCATATTTTCCCAATTGTTTTACATCAACGTACATCAGTTACAGGATTTACAATTTCTGAATATTTTAAAAATATATTAAAATCATCTATGTTACTCATTATTTTTACCTGCTATTTCAACCCACAATACATTCTAGCATTTGTTATTAATAACAGTTGTATGTTTAGCTAGCGTATCTCGAATATAGACTATAATACCACCAGATTTTCGAACTGCTAAATTTTACCTATATTTACTGAATGCCATGAAATTGGAAATATAGATGATGTCCGATTCATCAATTTTTGTTTACTGTATACAGGGAAATTTTCGCCCTCGTTTTATTTTCGCCCCTTTCACCCTCGTCACAATTGGGCGAATTTAAAACGGAGCGAATTCAAAGAAAATGGCATTATTTCTTAAACAGAACTGTGTTTGGGCGAATTCAAAACGGGGCAAAATCATTTGCAGTTGTAAAAGGGTGAAAATAAGACGGGGCGAAAAAAACCCTGTATTCAGTATTTTGAACTTACAGGCCCCTGATTACTATATTTTAAGGGGATTGCAGCTGTATACAGGCTTCGATTAGGTACCATTTTTTCTTTAGGCGGTGCTTCTGGTGGATAAACCCGAACACAATCAATGAAGAGTTTTTCTGCAACCATCGCCACTCTTTTGTTTTGTCTTTTTTGTGTGTTTATAAAGTGAGTATAGGAGCTTCCTTTGATCGTTAATATTTTTTGGAAACTGTTCATCAACCCCGAATGGATTCTGAAATAGTCTAGTGGGCGCCGCTCTTCGTACACTTTTTATGTTCTTTATACAACACAAATTACACAATAATTGGGCGGTGTCGGTCTTGAGTTTTCTGCCCCTGTGAAACTGGATTTCCTCCGCAATTTCCATTTCATTCTTGACAAAGTTTTTCAAAACTGTTGCTGTATTGTCTACTTGAGCCCCTGGAATTCCATCAAAATTAGTGTATCACATTGCACATCTGTTGGTCCAAGTGTCGCTCATTTAGGTCAAATAAATCGTTTTTCACGGTCTGGAGCTCTGGTATTACAGTCAAGTTCTCTTCTCTGATGGCCTCCGATTTTTTCTGATCTGGACAATTGATTCCCTAATTTTTATAATTTCACTTCGCTTATCATCATACTGCTTGCTTAAAAAATTCAGACCTTCATCACTGTCACTTATTTTTGATTTCATTTCCTTTAGTTTATTCAGTATGGAGTATATGGAGATAACGAACAGTATTCAAGCTCAAAAGTCATTTAAACATTATAAAATAGGAGCAGAGCAAACACAGACCTCCCAAACATCAGAGGTGGGATCAGGTATCATGGAGGAGTGAGCCTCTACCGACCGGTCACACCCGCCGTGTGCTCCTTGTCATGATCGGGAAATAACGGGAAAATCCGTGGACAATTCACTGTGTAAATAATGGACTAACAATCAGTATGAAAAACGTCAGTCAGCATTTGACTCAATGATAAATTGTATTTGCTGACAAGGTCATTGTATCGACCATGGAACTTACCAAATGGTGACTTTAAACGAGACTGCTGATATTCTTGTTTTATCAACTTGTTTGTCAATAATTTACCTCGTTTTAGAAATTGTACATACGTAGAGCATGCTCTTGCGTATCGAATCAACTGAGATATATAAACCCCGTATACAGGTGTTGAAAGTATATTGCTGCATAAGTAAGGGAAGTTGACGATTGAAAAGTTAAAGCCATCACGTTTATAATAAAGCTTGGTTGTTAGATTACCATTAACGTCTTTTTCAAGTAAAATATCCAAATATAAAACATATGTGTCAGACTCTGTGGTATCTTCCATCTCAAGCTCAACGGGATATATCGTATCGACATAAGAATGGAAATAACATTGTTAATTGACAATACGTCGTCGATAAATCTAAATGTCGAGTTGAAGGCCACAGCAAGTGTTTCTTCTTTTCAGGTATAAGATTTTGGACACATTCTGCTTCATATGAATACAAAAAAGGTCTGCTAATAACGAGGCGCAATTGGTACCCATGGGAATTCCAATAGATTGTTGGAAGGCCTGGTCTCCAAAAACCACATATTGTCAATCAGAGGCATTTTGTTCTTCAGACCTGCTAAATTCATTGAATTAACTTAAACTTTATTTCAATTCCATGGCGTGCCCCTATCTATAAACGAACAATGTAATACCATCGACCCGATGACTGCAGTCACTCGTCTCATTGACAACCCTATCTTCAGAAATAATTGTAAAAAATACTAATGTTTTTTTAAAATTTAGTTTGCATTGCCCAAACAATTTTTATCAATATATTTAATTTTTAAATAGAATATAAAACATGACGTTCTGAGATCATTTATCAGCCAACTATTATTATAAATTACTTTATTAAATACAAAGTTTTAAACTTCTTAGATTTAAAGTTATTTCAAAAAATATTGAAACAAGTATGTAGTTGCTAAAAAAAAATACATCTATGACTACTTGGACAGAAGCCACTGTGAAAATGCACGAAATACGAATATTGTTCTACGTACATCTAATTTTTAAGCAATCGAGTTGCATGCCTGACAAATCTTCACAGAATTGGATATGGCCGCATATTTTTATTCTCTATTCTCGTCAAAGACTATGTATTGGCTTCAGATGCTAGTATTTTTAAAATCAATAAATGAAATCCTTGACTGCGTGTATTTTACTGCGTTAATGTCTATACGGGTCATTTTTCAACAGGGTTTACTATTTTATGCTTTTCTTTACAACCTGTTATGTTCTTAAGAACCTCTTCATTACACGCTATATCTGTTATCCTTCTCAAGCTTAGTACAAGCATATCGAGAACGTATTACCCCAACTTTTTTCCGAGCATAATACTTTATAAAGAGTAAAGTAAAAAGTCTTTATTCTTTGCTGATAATGAATCAAATGTTCCTAAAAAATCTAGTTTTGTACTTTTTGATCTGATATGACTATCAAAGATTGTTTTCGACTGAATTTTGAATCAAATTTTAAGCAACTGCAAATATTCAATAAAGTTTTAACTGCCGTATATTTTCAAATACAAAAAACATAATAAACAGCATTTGTACAGTGCCCTTTTGCATATGAAATATGAAGGTGTGCATACTTGTCTATAAAATATATCTCACAATTACAAATATATCACTCTTACATAATTTCATGATTTGATGGAACATTCCTAGCAGAGAAAAAAATATGCAAATCAATAGATTAAATTAAAAGAACAAATTTTAATCAAATAAGACGGATACTTACAAACGAGCGTGCGAGCACAAACACAAATACTCACCCCCCCCCCCCTCCCGCAAACACACATTCTTTCACAATTCTGAGTAGTTTTATAAATTTTTTTTAAAACATGCGTGAATGAACCTCTATGGTTTTCTTCCATTTTTATCTAACGCAAATGTGTAAAAAATCTTCCATGGTGACAACTTGACACATGTTCTTCAAAAAGTTCGTTTCTTTTCTCATTTATTTTGGATTTTGTGGAATCTTTGATTTGGCAAAATTTCTCTTCTTTCAATAGGTCAGAGGGTTTACATTTACTAGCTATATCAATCGCATTGGATAAAAGAGTTTCCAAGTTGTATCGCTCAGCAGCAATTATATAATCCACAAGCGTTGTTGTAGTAAATTTCCCAAATTTGTCGGATATCTTATTACAGATAGACACAAGGCGGTCTTCACAAATCTTTTTCCAAGTTTCCCAAGCCAGTTTCATTAATTCCAATATATTTTTTTCTCCTGAATAATATATAAAAGAAAACATTTTACAGTGTCAGAATATGTAAGCGTACCATTTTAAGATTAAACAATTTTGATAACCTCATTAAAATATCTCCATGACTTTAACATTTAGATTTAGCTTTACAAAAATACATCGTAAAGAAGGGTACCTTGGTGTAAAGTCGATCTTATTTCTTTTTCCATCAAAGTTATTCGCTTTTCCGCTATTTTCAGCTGAGTATCAACAGAAACTTTACTGCAAATTCCAGCCTGTTTCAGTGATTGGGTACTACATTCTGAACACAATCCCAAGAGAGATGAAAAAGAACTTTCACTGTCTTGCTGTTCATCAATGTCTTGCTGTTCAATCCATGCCATGTAATCCACAAGTGTTTCTGGTCTGATTTTATAGTTGCTATTCATAACTGCGTTTTTGATTTGATCATTGATGAATGATAAACAATTTTCTTTCATAAAAGCCATACCATAAAAGTCAGCCAAACGTTCAACTACTGTTGCATTTTTCTCTGAAATATAATGAAATAATAAATTTCTCGCATTAAACTTCTAGTATTTTAGTTTATGGGGTACCACGACGTTGGTTAGGATTGATCAAGAGAAGAAAGGATTAGAATGTACAACCAAAACAGATTATCAAATACCCTGAAGTACAATTAAACGAGTGTCAGTTACAGTTTGCGAAAAAAAGCAAATTAATATTTACCTGTTATTGGCTCTGAGAGTTCAGGGTTATAAAAAGTGTTTAAGAAAATTACGAAGTCGTCGTATTTCTTATCTGATAAAACTATCCTGCCCTTATGTTTCTCGCTGAAATTAGACTCAAACATTGCTTTAAACACAGGTGAGTTGTCCGCCAACACCTGTTTGTTGACATGTATATCCCTCCCTTCTATCTCTAGTATGACGTCGGTTGGAGTGTAGCGTCTCATTGGCTTCTCCATCAGAGTTTGGAAGTCTTTATCTTCAGCGTCTGATTTCTCTGATTCTGCAGATTCAGAATCAGTATTCTCGTTACACAGCTTTGGTATCTTACATTCAGAAGCCATTACTCCTCCTTCGTGAGACGATATGTTTGCTATTTCTCAAAACAGAGCTTCGCCTTTCATGCGTGTAACGTTACTACAGGTGATTTAAAATTAAAACATTGATGGTGTCCCACATGGGTATTAATTTTTTAAAATAATGCTCATTTTATGATAGTTGTTGAATACAATGCACTTTTCTTTTAATAAAACAACCACTTGCTTAAAGCCACGGTGTCAGAATGCAAAGTCAGAAACATCAGGTAAACATTGTAATATTCCTTGGATGGCATTGTTAGAATTATTGATGATCAAGTGTGAATAAATATAAAGAATAAAATGATGAGTACAATGTTTCTGGTTGACCTCACTTGCTTACAGTGTTTGTCCTGTGAATAAAAATATACTCCAAAATACTAGTAAACTTTTATTTTCTAAATATATTTTTAGCTAGTTTTGTGACATTAATGGGGAATAATTCAAGATAGAAAGCCAGGTTAAATAATTTTATCTGTTTTAACCATGAAGTATCGGACTATAAATATGGCAATTTTCGTTACAACTTGATTTTGCCAATACTTTATGCACAGTACAGTAAATTATCTTTATTAGGATATAAATTACATATATTGCCACAAAGGTATAACAGTAATTTATAAACATTGATCAACAGGTGCTAGACAGGTGCTTTATAATAAAATAAAAAATAATGAAAAAAAGAACGCATACAGGAGTATTATAAATCTTGCTTGGGAGTAGAATTTTCCCTCGTTTTAAAACAAATACAAAAAAAATCTCGATTTTTTAAAGTATAATTTCCGAGTCGGAAAAGCAGTTCAGTAAGTTTTATTATCCTAGGTCTTGCATAAATATAATTTTTAATATATATATATATATATATATATATATATATATATATATATATATATATATATATATATATATATATATATATATATATATATATATATATATATATATATATATATATATATATTTCTTTATTTATTTATTTATTTATTTAACTCAACATGAAAATTACAAATTAAAACAGTGTGAGTCTTCTATCTCGTTTGATGTACAAAATGTACATTTCCGTTCTTTGCTCATATCTGCCGGTGTAACGACGAAAAGTGAGCCCCGTTGAATAATGACCGGGGGTCATTTTTCTACGTAGAAATTTGACCCCCTGGTCAATATTCTACGTAGAAAAATGACCCACTTTTTTGTAGAAATTATGGCCAGGGGGGTATTTTTCCCCAAGAGGGTTGTAGAAAAATGACCCTGTAGGATAATGACCCTGTATCTTTTTTTTTATACAAAAAACTGGTTTTCGTAGGAATATTCTTGTTAGGCAAATACATAGGGGTTAAACAAGTCACGCAGCCTAAAAGCTTTAAAGTTTAAATAACAAAAGGTTATACTATACCGTACACGTACATAGCTCCCTTTCTTAAAAGGAAATTCTTCAAAATCATATGTAAGTTTTGAATATTTTTAATATTCTCAACAACCAAAATGAATTCGAATCACCATATCTATATTGGATTCCGAAACTCCATAAAAATCCTTACAAACAAAAATACATAGCGGGTTCCAGTAAATGTTCTACCAAGCCTCTTTCTTTACTCCTCACTAAAATATTAAAGGTAGTGAAAGAAAAACTTCAAGAGTACTGTGCAACAATATATTAGAGAAGTGGTGTAAATCAGATGTGGATACTCAATAAATTCCAAGGAACTTTTGGAACGTTTGCAATCACAAGATTTTACCAAAATCAACAACATAAAAACTTACGACTTTTCAACTTTATATACAGCTATTCCCCACGATAAATTAAAGTCCAGACTTTCTGATATCGTTGACAGCTGCTTTTTCAATAAAAATGGAAATTATAAAGGATAAGATAGGCTAAGACCCCTTTTTGGCCGCTGGTTTGGGGTGCATTTCAGAATGATGCAATAGTTTATCAATTAAAAACCTGTTGTCACCCCTGCCAAAAATTGAGTATTGTTTCTAAGTTATGGGATACACAGAGGTCACAGGAAGGTCAGGAAAAAATGTCAATTTCCGAATTTTCTCATTTTTATTCAAATTTTCATCGATTTTAAAGCACATTTTGGTTCAGAAAACATAGAGCACAAGCTTGCCTTTCTATCAAATTTATATCTTTCATACATTAGTATCAGATGCATCTTATGTATAAAAATCTCAGTGAATAATCTAACCCCGTGGTTTAAAGTCGGATATGATTTATATCCAACCGGTAGTGTGATCTCTATCCTCGCCTAGAATCAGGGATAGGATCACACAACTCATTGCATACAAACCATATCCAATCGCAAGCCACGGAAGACTCTTAGAATATTTCTTTACTTTGCTACTTTTATGTCTGATAAAATTTTTTGTAATATTAACTTAATATCTAATTGTGCAATGTAATGCCTTCATAATGTACGTGATTTTTCACTTTAGAATAAATAGATGATAAAACGTTAAAGACTTATTTAAAAAATTTGAAATGTCAAATTGAGTCATTGTTTTCCACTTCTACTGTTGTGTTATACTGCCTTAGTGTAACTGGTCAGCACGTCTCATGCATAAATATTTTTCTGCAGTGAGGAGGTCCAGGTTCAAGTCCTGGGCCAAAGAAATTGATCGGGATTTCTTTACCAACATGTACAGGATAATTATGCCATCTTTTCATATCAAATAAATTCTATATACTTCTCTTTCATTTACATATAGGTACAGATCTCATCATGTTAGGGTACAGAACTACATTACTACTGTTGTGGACAACTACATAGCCACCGACTTTACGAGAATATTTCGTATCACCCAAAATTGCTTTGAGTCACTTGTTGAAGTTTTGTCATCAAGATCTGAAATGCAAATAAATGATTAATATTTTGGATGTCGGGAAAGAGTGAGGTTGGAAAAAACAATACTAGTTGCTCTAAGATGCTTTGGTCACCAGGGAAGTGTGAGGTTGATCTCAGATATTTTTGACATTGCATACTCAACAGTTATTTCATACAGAAACCGAGTAGTTGCATCTTTGTTTGGCTTAAAGGATGTGTACATAAAATGGCCGATGGACAATAGACTCTAGTTCAATATTGCATGCAAATTTCAAGAAAAGAGAGGATTCCCAAATGTCATTGGAGCCATTGATGGTACCCACATTCAGATACAACCACCTACTGAGCATCCTCAAGCTTATGTGAATAGAAAATCATATCATAGAATAATTTTGCAATGTGTGTGGAATGAAGGCCAGAATATATGTGCTGATCATCACATACTTGGGGATGGGGCATACCCTCTCAAGAATTGGTTGCTAACACCCTATAGAGACAACGGACACCTAACAGCTGAACAAAAACGCTATAACTATATTCATTGAACGTGCCTTTGGACTTCTAAAAGGAGTTTCCGCAGGCTGTACTACCTTGAAACAAAGAAACTCCAAACATCGTGTAATACTGGAATAGCGCGTTGTGTTTTACACAATTTCTGCATCAAACACGGAGACACTGGTGATGAATTTGTCGAGGAGCAGTCTGAATATATCAACGTTGATATTGCCATGGGTGCCATTGATGAAACAGGCTCAGCAAAGCGAGATAGGATAGCAAGAAACCTGCATTACCCAGAATAATAACGTCTTGTCTGAACAATTATAATGTTAATAAATATTATTTAAAGGATACCTGCTCTTAAAGTTATAACATGTATTTAATTGAATAAATCTCAGAATGAAGCTTGCAATTAAAATATTTTCATACAAAAATTTTCATTTCATGCATCTAAATATGATCCAAGATTTTTTGAATTCTTGAAATGGACCTTGTCAGACATTTGCACCCACAAATGAAGTGTCCAACTGTGGCACGATATGCCAGTCAAACTGTTAACTTACTGAAATATCACAAACATATTGATTGTGCAAGAAAGAAAATCATGTCAAACTTCGGTCTAAATTTCATTGAACTTTTCATTTCAGATGTTTGATATGCATCTTCTTTGTTGTATTTAGAACAAACTGTACATCATTTATATTTCTCAACTGGTTGCAATTGCTAAATCTGTAGTCTTATGAATTATTAGGAAATATTAACAATGCCAGACTAATAAACATCAAAATACACTATTATTGTTTATTGTGTGACTTTTAAACTTCTATGAGAGGCATAATTTTTTATCATTTGTATGCTTCATAATGAATTCTTCTGATCTCTCTCTGTATATATTTATATACAAGTGACATGATTTTCTATTTGAATTGTAGCAAATTAATTTCAGGATTATAAAAAATAACAGCTACTTGCAAAAGAAAAGATTATGAACTCTAGATCTATTTGAAAAAAAAATGTTTTCCTTAGATAATAGTTTATTTTAATTTATTTAAGCATGTAGTATGAAGATCACAACATTTTATGCTGTACAAGAAAATAAATAATGCATAAATTATTTAATATGTTTATAAAGTAACATTTTTTTCTTTAGCTACTTGGCAATTAAAAAAAATTTGGTAATTTCATACGGTTAACTATTTCTTAGAATTGACAAACTTCCTAATTATAGTTAATTCTTTTTCATCTCCTTGGTTAACTCCCCAAACAAATGCAGCTTTACGTTGTGCATCCTTGCATGTTCGGGTCTTTCTTCTTTCTTTTCTTTGGTTTTCTATATATTCTTTCAAAAAATCTAATACCTCACTTGAAGAAGCCACTTTACGTTTTTTAGGTCAGCTCTAGTAGGATCTACATTGTTATTTTCATCACACTTTGTAATTTGTTCGTCTCCTTTTCTCTTGCTGCTTGTACTTGATGAACTTGACGTTGTTACTGAACTTGACGGTGTTCCTGAACTTGACGGTGTTCCTGAACTGGCTGAAGAATTATTTTTTTCTATTTCTTGCGTTTCACTGCTTAAGCTGATAGTTGTACTTGTAGTTGCAATAGGATGAATAGTCGGATTACCATCAAGAATTTCTTCT